GACCCTTTTCTCCATCAGAGGACACCAACATCATGTCAGTGTCCTCATCACCTGGAGACCCCAGCGCTTGTGAGGCTCTGACCACTTCCCGCTGGAGTGCAGTCAAGGGGCTACACTTGCACTGGGTACTCCCTGTAGACACAGCGACAGCTGTGGCAGAAGCCATCACCATCACTGAGCCCCAGGGCACTAAACCCTCCGGTTGCCCAGGACCAAACACATAAGCATCAGGTCCTGCGACCAGAGTAAAGGTTGTTCCAGTCACTATATTACTGTCCCATCCAGCCTGATTCCCCACCAGACAGGCCAGAGGCACGGACATAGGACCACCTGCAGCATCCATGCCCAGTGTGCTGCAGGCTGGATCCCCGGAGATTTTAGAACCCCCTTCTGCCAGGTACTGGGGGCCGGTCCCTTGTCCACTCAGTTTAAAATTTCTTGTGAACTTGCCATCCACAGGGGGTAGACGGCTGACGAGTGTTGACAGTACCCGGGTTTTACATCAGAGTTTTCCTTCTCCTAGGTGGGTTGCCTGTCAAGGCTATCGAGCCCCACCTGTCCGGCTGCTTTTGGTTCGTGGTACCCTATTCACCTTTCATCTTATTTGGGCACACCCCTATACACCAGGAACAGGGATCCCTAATCCACCACCTAGGGGACGCACCTCTACGCAGTGCAACCTCAGCGTGAGGTTCTACCCGTGGTTACCGGATGTTTATAGTTTCCCTGACAACAGGAAAGTTTCGCTAAAATTAGCCAGCTGATTTCTTAGGGTTATATCACAAAAGTACTGAATAGATTTATGTTGAACTTTTAGGAAATGTTTATTACTCTTTCAAAAACATTCATTACACCACAGAGAACAGTTGAATAAAGTTTGAAACATTTTTAGAGTACAAGCGGGGCCGCGGCTCCCATCGGGTCGTCATTCCACAGATGAAGCTCGCCACACGGTGACATTCAGCAAGCAGTTCGGAGGTCTTCTCCAGCAGTTTGGAGGTCTTCTCCAGCAGTTTTCAGATGTTTATTCTCTTTCCAAGATCTAGACAACAGAAGGGGGACGGGAGGGAGGAGGAGGCTAACCTCCATTTCAGGAATCATTTGCTCTCATTAGATTAGTAATCCGTGCGCTCGGATTTCTGGTGGGTGTTTTTTTGCCTCCCACTGACCCCTGGCAGGCTCTGTAGAATGCCATTTTCTAACCATTTCACCGTCATTAATTTCACATCACACAGATATACCTGCAGAAATATGTGACTCATCACATTAAATCAAGGCTTAAAAGGGCAATTATGTGTGTTTCTCAGGCATACATTTAAATACTGTGGGATTTCAGCAGGTACAGACCCAGGGCGCAGGCAAATTCAAAGGTGCAACAAAAAGGGTTTATTAAAGTAACAAAAAGAGGGCTGAAGGTGGCAAAAACTTACAGATAAGTACTTCTCAGGAGGAACAGGCAGAACACCACACAGGCAGAGGGGAAACGGCACAATGAACCAACACAAGACTGAGACAGGACAGGACTTAAATACACTGAAAACTAATGAATGAACAGAAGACACCTGGTGAGAAACACGAGGGTGACAAT